TTTCGTGAGTGAGGACTCCAGAGGAACTGGGAGCTAGGATTGCACCTTGGAAGACCATCAAGAAGTTTCCTTTGCCTGTCTCCACAAGAAGAAGTGTGCTGGGTGCGCCAGTAGAGTCAGATATCAGTAAGTCCCCCTAATGGAAGCAAAGGCTGCGCGCACACATTATGTTTGTAGCTATGCCTGCCCTTGTAACACTATAAGAAAGTGGGTGTTTGGACATGCACCTCACTTGTAGCCCTGCAAAAATGGCTCAAACACTACAGGGACATTCCTGGATGAAACAAGCACTTCTCCATAGCACTACATTTTGTTGTACCACGTGTAATGTCTGAACAGTGACAGGTAGCGCTACAGGGGATCTCTTGTTCTCCAAGCCATCCCACTGTGCTCTGCTCTCTCCAGTGTAAGAGAGAGGGAGAGTGCAGCTGCAGCGGCTCGGGGGTAGTTGCTTGCTCTAGAACCAGCCTATCGGTTAGCGAGTCCTGAATAGGCACTGGGCGCGTTGGTGGGGAGTCCACTCAAACCAGCGGCTGCAGCTGTAGCTGCTGGGGTAGCAGGGCCTGCGGCTGTCCCTGCAGCAGAGCCATCCCATGGCAAGGACAGGGGCTGCCCACCAATCGGTGACAGACTGCCCCCACTTCCCTAGCAGGGGAAAGTGGGTATATCTGCATGTGACACTACATCAACGTAGTGCCCACAGGCAAAACCCGTGGTGCCACAGCTGCATCAGCATAGTGACACGCTCCCCGTTATAGTGCATCGCTACAGTGATGTAGTGCCTAAAAATAACTGTGCGTGGCGCACCCAGCTGTTACTGTGCCGTCTTTTAGTACCTCTGAAAGGAAATGACTGAAAGATGGCGCGATAGCAATGGCACCATAGATGTGCCCACTGACTGGGTGCATTGACAAGCTCCCCTTTCCTATGAGGGTGGGGGCAGAGGATCAATCCCTTGTCACCTGCTGACTGGCGAGCATGGCTTTGTAGTGCTCCAGCCGGAGGCTCTCGTTATCTGAGCACCTTTTATAGCACTGTATTTTGAAACTGCTGAAACACTGGTAATATTACAATGCACATCTGAACATGGTCAACGGGCAGTGCTTTTGCCGGTGGAGAGTGTACTCCTGGTGACAACTTACACTGGCAAAAGGACTGTTCTGTAGATACGATTTAATTATGCTGGGAACTGTTGCTAGCAAGGAGCAGGCCTGAAACTGCTGACTGCCCTCCTGTCTGTATACGTAATTCTGCCCGTCGCTGAGAAACATCTTTGTGACTAACCCTGGGACTGTTTATTTTTTCAGAGGTATATCTGTACTGGCTGTTCACTCTTAACTGGTGCTATTTTTAAATCAAATTTTAATAATGACTGGTACTGGAAACAAACTCAGCCTTAGATTTCTCTGCAGTTTTCTTATCTAACATCATAGCTGATTTTAGGTAAAACCTTCCATGTTTCAGGATTGAGCCTAACGAGTAATGTTCTGTCTTTACTGTACAAATGAATGGGATGCTACACTGACATGGGATCAGCACCTCAGTGTAAAATCGTACACTGGGGAGAGAAGGCACACCAGTAGTTTTTACCTGTATATCTTACTGAGGTCAGTCTTTTCCACCCCATTTGGGGCTAACCTCAACTTTAGTCATGCTGAGGTTAAAACCATGTTCATTAGACTTTTATGTTGGCAGAACTACCACAAAAGCACAACTTTTTTGCAGTGAAGGAATAACCTAATTGACCCAACATAGGCAATAACTTCCTTTATGGGCAAGCTATTCCATATTTATGCATATTGAGGGATTTTGCACCTTTTCTGGCCACTTCTGGTCACAGGCTACAGGACTGAAGGATTATCCGATCTCATTCAGAGTGAAGGATCTAATTTTCCTTGGATTAAAATTGTGTTATGCTCCACGAAAAAGACATCACCTTATTATTCATGTAAGACTATAATCTGATGTCATTGACTTTGGAGTTTCTGCATGAACAGCTGGCCAAGTTACTAGTAAGCGAGTGGCCAAGCTGATGAGACGGTTTAATGTTAGTATGGAAGTGACTATGCTATTGTGTGTGTTAAACATCCAGAAGTGCCCAGGAGGAACATAAGTATTTTCGGAGCCCAAGTAGATTCAGATCAAGCTTCTCACTTGTCTAATTAATAAAAGTGCACATGCTTGTGTTTAGGCTAGGACCTAAATGCTCAGTGTCTTGTAGAAGCAAGGCCACCGTGCCACACATAACTATAAGAAACACAGGGCGCATTTACACATCACCCTATGTCTCTGTAGCAACATACTATGTCGCCATACGGTGCACTACGGTGACATAGTGATCACATGAGTCTACATGTGATCAGCAACTAATTTGCCATAGTGGTGCACTCCCTCGTTTTAGTGCAGCAAAGTAGTGGTGAAATCTAACCATGCACCGTGCTGTGCGAGTGGTTACTGCACCGTGCTTCAGTACTTCCACAAGGAAGTACAAAAGCACAGTGCCATAGCAGCATCACCGTAGGGCGATGTATAGAGCCACCCAAAGAGAGGAAGACAAAAGGAACCTGTCCAACTGTATGAAAGACGTACGTGATAAAAATGAAGGGTTTAATGGCCTTATACGTGTGCAAAATGGTATCACTTTAACTAGTCCCAAAATAATTACATTTTATCCTGGATGTAAAAGCAATGCAGTAGAAAGTATGTAAGCAGCAGAACTGTAAAGTTTTTTTCATAGCTTTATTAAAACCTCTGGCCATGGTTCAGACACAATTAACTTTTGAAACATTTAATGTTAGGTGCATGCTCCGTTCATATACAGAGTACCGGTAACACCATTTGTGAGCTTATATCTTTACAGAGCATATCTCTTTTAGATTCCCAAGTTCCTTTTTCCCTGAGTTGTGTGATGCCTCTAATCAGAACCCTGTTTATGTGGTGAAGAGAAAATGAAGAGAATAAATGGGAATGAAGACAATAAAAAAGCAGAGATGCTGTTAGAGAGCAAATTGGAGATACTCCTGTACTGCAGTCTGAATTATGTGCTACTGTCTCAGACAAATTAAGCTTACATTGGTGTCTGACAGTTGGAGGCTTGCTTCCCTTCTGAGTTTTAAATGATGTTGCCTTGTTAATTTGCTAACCTTTTGCATCTCTAATAATTATTTATAAACCCAAGCTGACTTTATCCCTCCAGTTACACGTTTGCACTGAATCCCTACACATCATTATGATCACTCACTTCAGCAAATGCATGATCAGGCCACAAAATAAATTCAGGTTCCACATTTAAAATAAACCATTTTAACTTTACAGACCTAACAAAGCAATACAGAGCGTAGAACATAGAGTATATACAGAAAAGGCCAATTTCTGATTCCAGTTCTACACGAGCAGTTCCATTAACTGACCATGTAACAGAACGGTGAAGGCCCATTACCTTTAAGATGCAATTCAGATCTATAGGAATTTTGGACAAAACAGATAATCCATTAGCTAGAGCATGTTGTGGGCCAGCCAGTAATAAATACGAGGACTTAATAAATAGAAATGTACTATTTTACATGGATGTGCCTAGGTTGTATTAGATGGGTAATAAAACCTGTATGTTGATACAATATAAGACATGCATGAAAGACGGACAGTACTTGAAAAAGAGACCTGGGTTACAAAAATTAATGGAATTGAATAGTGTTAAAGATTAGGTGTGAAACTGCATGTGTGTATGTGCGTTAATGGAGATTTTGGGGTGGAATGCCGAGGTCCTATTCTTTAAAGTAAGTCAGACTGACGCAGGATTTCATGGTGTAATGAACTAGCACAGTTTTAAGGCGGGTCATTTCTCTGTCTGGAATCGGATCTGTGCAACTGTCTCATAGGCACTGTATTATTATGAACAAACTGATGATATTCTCTGTATGACAAAGGTCTGGGCTTTTTGGGAGAGAAGAGTTGTGACCAACTTCTAGATCGGCATGCTGCACAGCAGAGTGCCTAATGGAAAGATCCTAGCTGGTCACAGATTTGTTATCATATTGAAACCACTGTAGCTTTCAAGATCAAACACATCAGGTTGCTTAGAATCAAGGCATAAGAAAGTATGAATGATGTGGCCATCTCTCCAGGAGAATTTTGATATGAATTGCCTTTTTTCACTAATGGGGAAACTCCTATAAAGGAGAATAAAAAGATGACTTTGCTGGGAGATTGCATTTAATAATTTTCAGAGTAACACCACTGTGACAGAAATCAATAGTGTCCTTCCCTAGCAGATGCATTAAAAAATATTCCGGTTCAGCGCTAATTGCTCTGTAACTCCATTTCTACCTAAGGTACTATTTTGTTTCCCTTCTTTTTCGATATGCTATGAAAGGTGCTGATTTTCAGCCTGTTTGGTAAATCCTTCTCTTTTGTAAATCATTTCCTTTTGAATAAAATCAATTAAAGTTATGGCAAAGTGCATCAAATTCCATGTTTATCGTCCATGCCAGACAACTGAATTTAACTTTCTCAAGGGCCTGATCAGGCAAAACTTTCAGTGAACTTGATCACTGATTCTTTTGATAGATTAAGGTTGCCACTGGACAAATCCTACTCAAATTTAGGATCATAGGAAAGTGTGGCTGGAAGGGACCCCATGAAATTATCTAGTCCAGCTCAAATTGCTCCTACTGAAAGCTCACAGCTATTTGTGTTAGTTGTGTGAACTGAGGAAGCATCCTGCCTGTTAACAATGGTACCACTTAGATCCCTCACCAGTGGGCACGTCTACGTGTTCATTAATGCGCCACAGTTACTGTGCATTCAGTTTAGTACTTCCTTAAGTACTAAACTAAAAGCAGTAATGGGATGCGCAGTAACTACATTTACTGCGCAGTAGCACTGGTGTACAGTTTTTTTGTGACGGTTACTGTGCAGTAGCTTAATAACGCTGCACGGTAGCTTACTGGCACAGGTTTTGACCAGCATGCTACTGCGCAGTGCTATTAGGCTACTGCACAGTAAGCATCTTGTGTGCATGTGCCCAGTGTCTGCAAACCCCCCTCCCCCTCAAAACCTCCCCCCAAAATGCAATAAAGGCAGTAGGAGAATATTGCCGAGTTTTGCAAACATAAATCTCCTTGTACAAGCCCAGAACTCAACTCATTTTTTTCTTACCTTTAACTGTCTATATTATAACTTTCAGCAACCCCTGATGATGAAAAGAGATACCGCTTTACACTTTTCTTTGAGCAGTTTGGGCTTGTTTTCCTTTTCTTATGGCTTTCTGGGCAGGACTGGTAAGGGATGCTTCAGCACTTACAATCAGTTGTCAGGTAATAACACTAGATTCTGTCCAAGCGAGAGCACTTCCTTGTTTTGTAGCAGAGAGTCTTTTCTTTGGGAGTGGTTTGAGTCCAAACAGTTGGCAAGCAGCAGCTCGATACTTCTTAGACATAATATTGTACAGAATGGGGTTGATGGCAGCACTAAGGTAGAAGAGGACAAAGGACACCAAGTTGCAATACTGGCTAATTACAGCTATCTCCAAGGATCCAGCCTCAAAAGATTTGGAAAACAAGTATCGGTCCACATGAAAAGGCAACCAGCAGAGTATGAAAGCAAACACCACCACCGCTAAAAGAGAAACAGGGAAAGAAATGCTTTTAGATAAGTATACTAAAAACATGCATCATTTAAAATTAAACATACTTTTATGTCCTTGATATACTAGTGAAGCTCTTAAGAGTGTGATTTTTCACACAACAAAAATCAATTTGTTCAACTTATTTTGGATTTTAAAGATTAGCTTTTAAAATTAATACACCGATAATGATGTTAGTATATAATCAGCATAATCACTACAGCAGGCATTGCATATAAATGTCCTGTTTATATGTCCTTATTGGATTTAGTATGTAATTGTTCTAAATAATATATCCTTGTTTTTTGCCAGAAGAGAGGATTTCAGGGTTGCAACAGTGGGGAAAAAACTGATACAAAGACGAATTTAACACAAGCAGCATTTAACTAAAATACACCATTCCGTGCACCATCATTTATCCGACTTTGGCTCTGCTCTTGTTCCTTAACTGGTAAAGATTTAAAGCTTTAAAGCTGCTCTTTTAAATTCCCAGCAATGGATTTTGAATTCTAAGTTCTGAACACTCGAGGGCGCGGGGCAGTCTGCATCTTATCACGCTGATCCCTTTTCACTTCTTCTACTGCAAGCCGACCCTACAGCAGATTGCTAACATTTAAAGTTGCCTCCGTTAAAGGATGCTGTAGCCACAGTCTTCACCGTCTAATAGCTAGTGAAGAAAGTGACTTGAAATAATATTGATGTTTGTAGCAGTGCTTTAGGGCTGAGGTAAGCAAGTATTTTAGGATTAGAAATCGGTATATTAAACTTTTAGAACTATAACTCTCGAAATAGCGAGCACCAATTCATAATTCGGAAAAATCTAGATCTGGAAATAGATCTTCGGCTAAGCAATGTGTTGCTTCCCAGGTCATGCTAACAGACTTTATCGATTATATATTGTAATTGAAGGAGCATAAAAGATCTCACTGTTTTGATTACTCTTGTTGCTGTTGCACAGTAACGATAACATGTATGAATACATAATCAGTTAAGTTTAAATTGAATAACTGAGGTATTCAGGACCTGTCATGGCCCTGTCCTATAGTCCACTGCTCCAACTCAGTTGCAATTAGCAAAGTGAGCAGAGGCTGTTGCAGGATCAGGCTGCTAGAATAATAAGAAAATCTATAGTTTTCCACTAAAGAATCTAATGAAAGTGTTTTCGGGTTTCCAAATAGTGTCAGAAAGTGTTGCTGCTTCTAGCCTGGTCATTTAATTCTGCAAATGCTACTTGCAGAGGACCTCATTAACTACACTACGTTGAGCACTTGCAAGACCGAAATCTTTTGAGTGGAAGACCTGTGTCTACTGACACGCTGCAGTTTGGATTTCTTCACTGAAGCAACAGCTTTCCTTTGTACTTGTATTCAAAATTTGTACCTTGAAACATGAATGCTTAATGCTTTGTGCCCTGCAAGCGATGAGCAGGAATTTTACACTTGGCTTGCAAGGTGATAGGGTCTGGGACCCTAAGAGATGGAGCATATTCTCCAATAAGGAGCAGCTGATGTTGCGAAAATGGCAAAAGCAATTTAGTTGGCAAAGGATGAATTTAGCCGTATTGGTCAAATTGGTCAGAAGAAACCCAGTCCACACGTGCATGGGCTTCAGTCCACCGGCAGACTGCAGCTGTGTCATGCTTTGAGACCGGATTAGCAGGGGGGAGGGACAGGGCAGAAACACTTCTCACCCTGGCATTTTTTGGCACCTCTAACTTAGCTACACTCCTAGCTCCAGAATCTCCTGTGCAACAGGATCACTTTCCCCCCCAGTGCAACAGGATCATTTCTTTTCCCCCCTGGTGCAATAGGGTCACTTCCCCCCTCCCCATTCTCGGCGCTTGCCCTCTGGGTGGCACAGTAGGAACCAGCAGCGTGACAGCGTAGCAGCACTGCCTCCCTCCTGCCCCCGAGGCCTTCCCACGTCCCTGGGGCGCGTCCAGCAGGGACACCCCTTCCCTGGGGAGCGCGGCTGCAGTTGGGGCTGAACCCCCAGCCTCTCCTTGAACACCCCCCCAGTCCTACCTAACATCTTGACAGTCTGCCTGTTGTTCTTGTCCCTGACCGAGGCGCTGGGCCCCATGTTCTTCCTCTTCCTCCTCCACAGCTTCCTCCCGATGAGGCTGTAGAGCACGGTCAGGCAGAAGACGGGCAGGAAGAAGAAGACGCTGGATGTCCACACCATGACGGTGAGCAGGCCGGACTGGATGGCATACTCGGTGGCGCGGCACTCCTCGGTGCTGGCCGGGCTGGTGCCGTTGTCGTGCTCGACCCCCACCAGGACGAAGATGGGCCCGGCGCTGGCGAAGGACACGGCCCAGAGGCCGAGGATGACCAGCTTGACCTTGCCCTTGGTGATGGCCACCTTGGCGCGCAGCGGGAAGCAGATGGCCAGGTAGCGCTCCACGCTCAGTGCCGTGATGTTGAGGATGGTGGAGTAGGTGCAGCTCTCGCTCACGAACTGGAAGAGCTTGCACAGCAGGTCGCCCAGGGTCCAGGGCCGCGCCTGCCAGAGGCGCAGGAGGTCGAGGGGCATGCACAGGAAGATGAGCAGGTCGGAGAAGGCCATGCTGGACAGGTAGAGGTTGGTGGTGGTCCGCATGGCCCGGCAGCGCGACACTACCAGCATGGTCAGGACGTTGCCGCCGATGCCCACCACGAAGAGCAGCACGCAGGTGACCGTGATGCCGGTCAGCACCGGCGCGGAGAAGGGGTACTCGGCCCACGGGTCCGCCCCGTCCGGCATGGCCCCCGCCCGCTCGCCGCTCGCGTTGCGCATCCCGCCGCTCACGTCCCCATGCCCGCGCCGAGCCGCGCCGCGCCGAGCCGGGCAGGTGCG